AATTCTTTTTATATCTGTCGGGATTATCCAGAATTATTAATTTTACAGACTGAAGTGTTTTTACTTATTTACCTAGTCTTGGAGAAGGAAATTTTGGGTTATATTATAAAAACTCCGTGCAAATATGCATAAAGGATCGTGGAATTCAATTAATTCATCTGTTTAAAACTATTGCTTAATTTACAACCGATTAGTAAATACTGCATAAGGGCATTGAAATCTATCTGAATCAATCAAAATTACCTATTTAACAGACAGAAGGTTTTTAATAAAATTAAAATTTAAATTTAAATGAAAATAACTTACAGCAATAGAATTTCCTGAAATTTTGAGTACTTACAACAGCAATAGAAAGTGTAACAGCAGAAATCTACCTAAAAATGTAATAAAATTATTATAAAAAACACAGATACATAAAAAATTTTTAAAAATATTTGTTAATTCGTTTTAAAAATTAAAAAAAAATTATAAAATTAACAATTAAAACCAAATAAATATAAAATAAGAAACTTTGAGGTGTTTATGTAAACTATTGACAACACCTAAGATAAAAAAAGAAAAATACTAAAACAAAAAATGTTATTATTCTAAAACTTATCTCTTGGCTTTTAGTGAAAAAGCCAAGAGATAAGTTTTAGAATAAGTGAGTTTCAGTAACGAAACAATAATATTTAATTTTTCCATTAATTGAACCTCTTATTAATGAGCCAGATAATAGGTTTCCAGAAAATGATATGTTTGATTATAAAGGTTTAGTAGCAGTTCCTTGAACTGTCCAGAATGCTAAAAAAACATGGAAATCTGATTTATATGAGTTTTTAAAAATTAATTTCTATTTAATCTAAAAATGGAGGGTTAACCTTAAATAAAATTTCTAATACTTTACATAAACTACTATCAAGAAAAGGATTGAACCTAGAAAAGAAGGGCTAACCTTTATAATTATAAAATTAATTAATTAACTTAAAATTAGTTTACATTAATAAAAAACCTAATATTACTACATCACGTGCTTATCAAGAAATGGTAAAAATCCAGAAATAAAGGGCTAACCTTAGGCAACATTACTTCACATTACGTGCCACTTAAGAAAAGGAAAGAATCCAGGAATGGAGAGCTAACCTTTGGCAAAATGATAGTACACAGATGAAGTGCAAAAAATAAAATCAACAAATCTTTTAAAAGAAAGAGAAAGAAAAATTGCCAAAACTTGGCAAAAAAACAAAACAAAAAAAAAATAAAAAACAAGATTAAAAAAAAAAACAACGCATTTAATACAACAGTACATTTAATGTACTTAACGTAATTTTTTGTTTTGATTGTAATGTTTGTTGTAACTTTTGCTTTGTTTTGATTTTCTTAATGATTTTCTTTTTATTTTCTTTATTTTATTTGTTTGGTCAATTTATTTTGGTTATTATATTACAACAATTATGATTAATATATTTCCTAAATCTTTATAATTTTGTCAGTTTATTACTATTTGTATATAGTTATATAGTTTTGTCAGTTTATTATTGTTTTTAACTGTAACTTTGTATGTATAATTGTTGTATGGAAAGTAATATCGTTTTATTTAAATTATTATAATTACTTTATTATTATTATTACTATTATTAAAATAAAATATGATTATTATTATTTTTTATTATTATTATTTATTATTACTATTGTTATTATAATTACTATGATTAATTATATAAACTATTTTTTTAAGATGTTTAACTTGAGTATTTCAATACTATTTGTAAATGTCAGTGAAAATTTTAAAAAAAATATACGATTGATTGATTGAGAAAAACAAAACAGAACCAAGGATAGAAACTTGAGGTACCCCAGAAGTTACTGGAAATGAAGAAGAGTGTTGGCACCGAAGATGACTTTAATAATGAGGTTTCAAAGGAATGATTTGATAACCTCTAAAACTTTCTCAAATACACTATATGAAGCAAGTTAATGGAGAAGACCAGCATGCCAAACTTTATCAAGAGCAACAGCCTTTGCCTTGCCGCCTCCATCTAATGCACGATAAAATCTTTCAGTTACAGCAGTTAAAGCCGAAGAACGAGAATATTGAAAACCGTATTGAGTGTCTGACAGTAAGCTATTTAACTCATGATGGCTTCATGTTCATCATGGTTAGAAATTTGTTGATTAAAGACTCAAAGACCTTTTTATTATTAGAGAGAGACTGATCGGACAATAATTAGAGGGGTCAGAATGTTATCCAGAGTTATTTAAAATTGGAACCAAAGATGTAATTTTCAAGCAGACATGAAAGCAAAATTCAGTCAAGCACTTATTAAATAGTTTAAGGAAAATTGAAGAAATAAGATAACCCCTATAAACTAGAGATAAATGTTTGACTTTTTATCTACCAGTAACTAAGAATATTTTTTAAAAATTTCCCAAAAGTCTCGAGAGCCTAAATTATAAGACAAGAAACGACATTTAGTAAATTAAGAATAATGGAGCTTTGCATCAGACACCTTTTTACGTAGATTTTATGCAATAATAATTCTCAAGAGAGTTGTTCTTTTAAAATAAAAATAAACGAAAAAAAAACAGCCAAAAAGTGAAAATGTTTGGTAAAAATAAACCAATTGTTGACTTAGTTATGAGTTGTACCACGTCCAAAGACATTTCCAAGATTTTTTACCTCTATGTAATGTTTACACTGTCATTAAATGTTTACATTGTCATTTCAAATGACTGGTTGTATTACGAGGAAGCTTGACAGTGGTTTAAAGAGTTCAATCTGAACTCTTTAATCAAGGCTTTTAAGGACCGAATTTCTCAGAACCCAGTAAGGTCAACGAGGAAAATAGCCGAAGAGATCTCAGTATGTAAGCATTTCTTCAGAAACGTAGTCAGAAAGGATTCTAAAGCAAAGTCAAGAGCCAGTATTAAGAAACAACTGGTTTCAAAAACTTTCAAAAAAAAAAAAGATTTGAAAGATCAAAGAAACTGAGTCTCCAAAAAAAGAGATCAACAACTATGCTCTTCTTAAAGAGAAATTATTTACTGTTTATTCTGTGTCAAACAGCAGAGCCAATAGTTTTATTAGCCATAAACCAGTTCTAGCAGTCCGAGAGCCCATAAGACTCAGAGGTGGCTCCTGGAGAACCTGCCAAAACACTGATCAAATAAGTTATGACCACTTGCATTCCCAGATTTAGCACCTCTTGACTACTCAACTTAGGCGTATCAACATTTCCATAACAGTATCAACTCCCTAAAAACTGCCATTTAAAAAAAGGGTAACATTTTATCCAAGGACTTTATCTAAACCACCTGTTTCAGATAAAGAATTAACTTGAAACTGTGATTGATGCTGAGGGAGAACATATTGAATAAAAATGTAGTAAATGTCTTTCTTAACACTTTAGCCTCAAAACGTAGTATATATCGTTGGATCAAGCAAGTAAAAGAAACTAGTACATTTAAAAGAAAAATTTCCAATGGTCGTCCAGTTAAAATAGTAACAAAATGTAAAATTAAAAAACAGGTTTAGTCATAGATCAGGACGTTCTCAAAGCCACTAGAAAATTTAGATGCTCTCAACCTTATGTTAACAAGTTGTTAAAAATGAGTTCTAACATCAAGTATAGAAAAAAAAAGTTAAAAAACCACTTTGAACGGAAGAACAAAAAAGCTAGCTCGACCCAAATGCAGAAAAATTTTACAGCATTATGGAAATCGTGATTTTTTTTATTGAAGATAAATCAATAAAAAAATCAAAAGGCAATAATGCTATATGGACTTAATGTTTGTACAAAACTATTCTTAATCAGTCAGGAAAAGACTTCATAAAATAAGGAGATATCTCCTTATTTTATGTTTAAATAAGGAAAAAAATAAGGAGATATCCCCTTATTTTTTGTCTATATTCTTTTTGTCTAGATCTGAACTTTAATTATTTTTTCTTTATTATTTTTTTATAATAGACAACATTATAATGTATTTGATAAATCTAAAAAAAAAATTATAATATTAAACTTCAGTTTAAATTTGTGCCAAAACTTAGTTATTACCCGTTACTTTATTTTTTTATTAAAATGTTTATAATAAAAAGTAAAGTACGATAAATGAGCAGTACCGGATCAAGAAGGGGGGGGGGGAGCTAGAGCTATAGCACCGGGCCCCGCAAATTTAGAAGCCCCTAAGAATTTTAGAGGACCTTTTTTTTTTAGTCATTTTTAGGCTCTGACCCATAAAAAGGCCTTCAAAAATAAAAATAGCCCCGGGCCCCGCTGTAAATGAGGTAAATAAATGTACGCTACTAAGATAAAATAAAGCTTAAATAAAAAAAAAAAAATTATAATAAAAAAAGTAAAGTACAATAAAAACTAAGTAGTATAAAGTAAATAGAGATGTTAAAGTTAAACAATACAAATTTTAATACTATTTTTATCTTATTTTACGTTGACGAATTACATGTGAAACAAATCAAGTCATATTAATTACAATTGTAATTTGCCGCTTTTGACCTACTTAAGTTACGATAAATAAATATAAAACACTTAAGAAGCTAGATTATAAAAGAAAAATGATTACGTACTTTACATTTATTTTACAATGTAATCTATTTATTGCAACTGTAAGATATACTTTATTAGCTCTTTGTTTTTTGATGTATTGTATAAATAGATATGATATGCTTTAATGTATATTAATAATTAATATTTTATCTATACTGATAATGAATATTTTATTTTTTATAAACAAAATAATAACAATATATTTGTTTACGCGAAACAAGGAATTGTTATTAAAACGACTCAAAATAAGAAAATCGTCTAATCGAAACGCAAACAACAGTTTATTCCAACCCACCATGTCCCAGAAACCATTTCATGTTATTGCTTTACTTTATATGGTGATTACGAACAGTATCGTTCACGTAATGGGTGTGAAATCAAATTTCTTTTGTTACACGGAGAGCGTTGATGTGGGACGTTCGTCGAGGAATTAACACAATTTTCAAATTATTTTAAAAAATTAAATTTTCATCTTTACCAAGATATGGCGGACCCAGGAGATTTAGAATCAAGAGGCGTGAGTAAACTTTTGTGTAAAGCACTTTATACAGTTTAATTTATTTGAATTTAGCATAAAAAAGTTTCGTTTTTTCCACTTTTATACATTTTATGATATCTATTTTTATACATAAAAGACATTTTATTCCAGGCTATTTACAACTTTAATACAATAAAAACTGCACACATATATATATATATATATATATATATATATATATATATATATATATATATATATATATATATATATATATATATATTAATATATATATATATATATATATATATATATATATATATATATATATATATATATTAATATATATATATTAATATATATAATAAGTAATTCAGCAAATATATAAAACTAATAAATTATTTAAAGATGGCAAATAATTTAAACAATTTATTTTACTGCATTTATTTTATATATATATGTGTGTGTGTGTGTGTGTGTTTATATATATATATATATATATATATATATATATATATATATATATATATATATATATATATATATATATATATATAAAATATATATATATATATATATATATATATATATACATATATAAAATATATATATATATATATATAAAATATATATATATATATATATATATATATATATATATATATATATATATAATACTAATAATTATAATATATACTAATAATAGTACTAATAATTATAATATAATAATAATAATAATATAATAATATAATACTAATAATAATAATACTAATAATTATAATACTAATAATAATAATACTAATAATTATAATATAATAATAATAATAATACTAATAATTATAATATAATAATAAATGTAAAATAAATTGTTGAAATTATTTGCCATCTTTAAATAATTTATTAGTTTTATATATTTGCTGAATTACTTATTATTTTCTGAATAATTATATAAAATATTGTTTAATAAATAAAATAATATTTGATTAACTTAAAAATTTAAAAATTAATTAACTAAAAATCATTTAAGTATGGAACTCACTTCCTAACCACATAGTTAACCAAATAGTAGATTGCATGACTTAAATTGTCATGCAATCTACTATCTTGTTTTTTCACATTCACTCATATTGAATTTTCTTTTTTGTTTTTGTTTTTTGGTGCTACATAAGAGTAGTTTAGTAATTACCTGTCTCACCATTTTGTATTTTGTACATTTTTCAAATACAAATAAATAAATAATAATAATAAAATTAAAGTAAAAACATGTTTAGTTTAGAGGAGTTATTTTTATTAAATGAGAAAATTGTAAAATGTACATAAATTTAAGTTTATTTTCAGTTTTTTTAGTTTTTCTAAAAAATAAAAAAGCGAAATTGTTTTTAATAGTTTATCCTATCCAATAAATAGTCTCAAATTAAAATACCTCAATAAATTAAAATTAAAATTTGTTTATACAAAAAATGGATCCTTACAATTAAGGGTGTACTAGTTCTCAAATCCAGTATTCACCAAAAAAATGAATCGAATTGCTCTAATTTTTAAATATTAAATTAATAATACTTTAACCATTTGATGGTTAAATTTGATGGAAGCCAGAACTTGCATTAAAAAACAAAAATTTGTTTTTTAATGTAAGTTCTGGTTTTGCTTATATTCATTGTGTAGTTTTTTTCTTTAACTTTTTTTTTTTTTTTTTTTTTTTTTAAGAAAGCAGATAGTTATTCTGTTGCTGAAAAAAAATCTGCTCCAAAAAAGATAAGTAAAAAGAATGCAAACAAGGCTAAATTGGAAGATCTTAAAAAAGAACTGGAGATGGTAACTTTTTTTTATTTTATTATATTTATTTTTATATTATATATAAATATATATATATATATAAATATATATATATATATAAATATATATATATATATATATATATATATATATATATATATATATATATATATATATATATATATATATATACACATATATGTATAATTTTCTCCTCAGACTGAACACAGCATGAAACTTGAAAGTTTACTATCAATGTATGAGACAAGTCTGGAAAAAGGATTATCTGAAAATATAGTGGCTCGTAATTTACAACGTGATGGACTTAATGCCTTGACTCCTCCAAAGCAAACTCCAGAGTGGGTGAAATTTTGCAAGCAAATGTTTGGTGGTTTTTCAATGCTTTTGTGGATTGGAGCTATACTTTGTTTTTTTGCATTTGGTATTCGTGCAGTTAGAGATACAAATCCTAACATGGATGAACTGTATTTGGGTATTGTACTTTCAGTTGTGGTTATTATTACTGGTTGTTTTTCTTATTATCAGGTAAATTTTTGTTTATTTGTTTTTATCAGTATTTATAATTAATTAGGAAAATCAAAATTTTTAAATCTGAAAAATTATTTTTTAAATCCGAAAGGAAGTGTATATATATATTAAGCCTTCCCAAGAAACGCGTGCAGTCGCAAGCCTTGTTGGTCCTTGTTTAAAGTAATTTTTTTAGACAACTTTTATAGTAAGTTTTTTACTACCGAGAATAAAACAGCAATACTCAAAGAAAGGAAATGAATACTATACAAAACAGAAAATACAAATAAAGTTAACTAAAAAAAAATTGAAAATTAAAAAAAGTAAAATTTTGTCAAAAAATAAAATACCTAAATATTTTACTGTTTGTTTTCTTTTTTTTTTTTAGGGCGTTTTTTATTTTCCACTACCAAAACTGATAAAAGTTGAGGAAAAGGGCAGATAAGAATATAACAAAAATAAAAACATTTTTTGATATACTATTTATTTGCGACTTTTGTCAGTCAGTATATTAAGGAATCACTATATTATTTGCACTTGAAATACGGACAATTAGTTTTTCAAATGTTTTTGCTAAACTTTTTTAAATGTTTTTATCTATGCACAGGAAAGCAAAAAAATTAACATGCACACCTTTTCTGCATACGTAGACTTTATAAGAGACTTACAATTAGGTTTGTTTTTCTGCTAAATGCATTTCATTGATAACTCAGTGGTTAAGTGTGCTGTCATCAGTGTTGTTTTGGGGGGTTTAAGACCTCCACTTTGTGTAATAAATTTTGAATTTTTTTTATCTTGTTTATACATTTATAGCAAAATAATAATAATATAGCTAAAACGATTTCTAAAATTTAAATTAAAATTTTAAAGTTTTCTCATTTTATAAATATATTATATGCGATTATTTCATATAATCCTTGCAAATTCAACATATGCTAAAGGCGCTTATACTTACAGACCTTTGTACGTAACGCTATACAAATGGAACTAAAAAGATCTTAGACTACTAAAACATAGTCATTAAAAAAAGTTCTTCCTTATGATTATGATAACAAACTAAAAAATAATATTAAACGCTAATCTAAAAGTTAAGAGAAATTTTTTTGTGTATTTACGTTGGTTTGTGGCAAAATAAACCTTTATGCGTCAAGTTTCTTTTGCATTTATCTTTATTTTTTTGATTAATTTTAGTTTCTTTTACATACAAATGCATAAAAAAATATAAAACTGGTACAGATATATCATTTCATGGATAAGAGATTGTATTTATTACAATAGTAATAAATAAATAGTTTTTGTCTTTATTAGAATATATCCTATAAAAATATATTCCATTATCTTTAATAAAAGAAGTTTTTTAATAAAAATAAAACCTTTTTTCTAGTTTGTTTTTCTAGTTTTTTTTCACCAAGTGACATCACATGCAAAAAATTGTAGCTTCAACAGTTTAGGAAAAAGCCTTGACTCATTTTTAATGGTCATTTTAAGAATCAGATGACGTAATTTTAGCAATCAGAAATTATCAAGCGAGTGGCAAATCTAAAATTGAAGTTTTAAATTTTCCACTTGAATGAGACAATATGTTTTGTGCTTTTTCAATCTTGTCAATTTTTTAAAATATAATAACATATCTACAAAAAATCAAAAAACAGCTTTAGCAAAAAAGATTTGTAACTTAAAAAAAACATAATAGTAGATTTCTTACATTTAATAAACATTTTATGTAAACAAATAACAAATATATATATATATATATATATATATATATATATATATATATATATATATATATATATATATCAGGCCTTGTTACGAGATTTCGCTGCGTAACGGAAAAGCTGAATGTGAATAAATGTAACTTTACTCAATTAAGATAATTACATTGTTAAAAGTTAATTTACGTCAGTTGGGTTTTTACTTCATTGTAATTAAATTTAAAATGACATTAAAAACTATTGTTAGTCTTTGAAACTTTTAAAGTTAAATTATACAATGTTGTTATAAAAAAAAAAATTTCAATGTTGGTTAAAAAAAAGTCTTCTTGTATTAAAATCTTATACTTATTTAAACTTAATTTTCTTGCTTTTAAACATTCGTTTTATGGTTGTTTTTTTTTTATTTTTTTTTAAATAATTTAAATTTAACACTTGTTTATGGTTGATTTTCTTAAAGGGATTTAAATGTACTTATAACTAAACGCATAGATTGGGTTTTCCCTTTTAAAAAAAACGTTTGTTTTGATAAAATAAATGTTGTAAAGAAACGAAATTTACTGCTTTTTCGGCTTTGTTTTTTTTTTTATTTCCATTAAACTATTTTATTTTTATGTACAGTGAAACCTAATATTTTTTTTCTCAATCCAAATAAAAAATAGTGTTTTCGGTTTTCAGATGTTATAAGCAGAATTTGTTTTTAACAAATATCATTATAATTTTGAAATTTATGTATCTTATATTTATAGCTCAAGTACTAGTTGGGTTTTTAAAGAGTTTATTTACTGATCACGTTATTTGTAATAGGTTTGTATTTTAGTTTGTTCAAGGACATATTGTTAATACGTCCTTGGTTTGTTTTATAAAAAAAAATTCTTTGGCAAATGGCAAAGGGAAAACCCAAACATAACATTTATAACTCGAGTTTAAAAGTATTGACGTCATTTATTAACTTGTAGTTATAAAATGAATAATGCGCTTCTGTAAATAATGAATGAAACAGTAAAATAATGGAAAAATAAAAACTGGAAAATAATGCGCTTTTGTAAGCGCATCTTTCAGACCAGTATTTGGAACTTACCTGAAACTTCACTAAAATTAAAATAAAGTTATATGTAATACGAACATTTTAAAGTAACTTGAATTAAATTTATCAAATTTTTTTTTACTTTGGTAATTTTATAAAAAAAACGGAGCATTTTAAAATTAAAAAATTTTAAAATGCTCTGTTTTAAAATTAAATGAAAGAATTTTAATTAAATTTAATAAATTTATTTACTAAAAACTATAATTATTAAAAAAATATTTAAATTTAATAAAATAAATTAAAAATATTTCTTTTTTTAAATTTGATTGTTTATAAACTTATGAAATCTAATATTTAAAATTAAGTATGATGAAAAGTTTAAACTTAAAACACTTTATTTTCTTTAAGTAATTTTTAAAAACAAAAAAAAAAATTATTAAACAAATTGTTTCTTTAACAAAAAATCTATTAGTTTACAATTGCGGTTAAATGCTTTTACTTACGACTTTAATACTTCTGAATGAACGTCACATAAACCATATAAAAAGATAATTTAAATATTCTTAAAGATAAAGTTTTTGCGTAACGCATAACTGGTGAACGCATAGGCAAATCGCCTTTTCGCAGGCAAAATGCGAGCTGCGTAACGCTTCTTAACAAGGCCTGATATATATATATATTTGTGTGTGTGTGTTTATTCCGATCGAAAAATGAAATTTATTGTTTATGTTCAGTTTTTGTCCTTAAAATAAATTTAGTACTCCTTTTTAGTTCTTGTTAACGAAAGGCTTTAATTTTTCTTCTTGTTTTTTTTTTTCGTCCAAAAAATTATTACTGTTTTAGTTAGACTAAAAAATTAGTCTCTATTTTTAGTTAGGTTAAAAAGTTAGTCGGCTATTTTTAGTTACAGTTTTTTAATTGAGTTAGTTACAATTTTGAGTTTTGATCACAACACTAGTTTCTTATAGCTTTTTTTTGCTGCAAATTCTAAAAACGCTTGCAATATAAAAACTTTGTCTAAAAAAGTTACTTTTAACATTGACAAAGAAGGCGTGCAATCGCACTTTTCATGAAGGCCCTTGGAATTAGGGTCAGCATTTGGCAACACTGACCTAACTGCCGATCTAGAAGCATTTGAAGTCGGCAAAAAATTGCTGACCTTTTTCTATGTTGTATTGTCAAACTTTTGTTTTAAGTTTTTTAAATCACACAGATTAAGATCAGCAAAATTTTGCCGATCTTATTTTTTCTAATTCTGAGAGCTGTATATATATTTAATTTGGTCAAAATTTTAAATATACTGCAATGGTAATTAGTTGTTATTTTAAAATTTTAGGAATCCAAGAGTTCAAAAATAATGGAGAGTTTCAAAAAAATGATCCCACAAGAAGCTCTTGTTTTGCGTGATGGTAAAAAAATTACTATAAACGCAGAACAATGTGTTGTTGGTGATGTTGTTTTTGTAAAGTTTGGAGATCGAATTCCAGCTGATATTCGAATTGTTGAATGTAAAGGACTAAAGGTATTTCTTTTTTGTTTGTTTTTGATGTTTTTTTTTTTTTTTATCTTGTAAAGATGAAAAGGGTTGATGTAGTTTAAGTGTTAACAGGACATGAATCCATAAATTTAACTTGTTAAAACGTGTTCAGAAAAAAATTAAAATGTAATTTTTATTTTGGTTTTTTATAAAGACGAACCGTGTTTTCATTTTTCTACTATAAGTAATGATTCTATTATAAATATAATTATTATATTAAATAAAATCTTTATTTTTATAAAATTATTCTCGATAAATATCCTACATTATTCCTTTTTTTGTTGTTATTGTTAAAAAAATTCTGATTTCCAGTAGTATTAAGGTTAACAAAATTGAATTTGTTTTATTTTAATCATTTATCATAATCTGTTCAATAGGTTAAAACTATAAGCATTAAACATATGAAAATTTAAAGGGATTTTTTTTATATTTGTATTTTTACTCTATTTAGAAATTTATAATTTAGGTTTTTTTATTTTAAAAATAAATTTCATGAACTTTTCAGGTAGACAATTCTTCACTTACTGGAGAATCAGAACCCCAAAGTCGAGCTGTTGATTTTACTCATGAGAATCCGATTGAAACAAAGAATCTTGCTTTTTTCTCAACTAATGCTGTTGAAGGTACTGCTACTGGAATAGTTGTTAGGATAGGTGATAATACTGTTATGGGTCGAATTGCTAATCTTGCATCAGGATTAGGAAGTGGTAAAACTCCTATTGCATTAGAAATAGAACATTTTATTCACATTGTAACGGGAGTTGCAGTTTTTCTTGGTGTAAGTTTTCTGATCATTTCCCTTGCAATGGGTTATCATTGGTTAGAGGCAATTATTTTCCTTATTGGTATTATTGTTGCCAATGTGCCTGAAGGTTTACTTGCGACTGTTACTGTAAGTTTTTCAGTTTTGTTTAATTTTTTTTTAAAGTTCTTAAGAAAAAATTTTTTTTTTTTTTTGAAGATTGGTCTAAATTCAATTTAGGTCAATTCAATTTATACATGGTCAAATATGAAAATCTGAGAGTATGATGTCATACTCTCAGATTTTCTGGAGTAGCAATCTTTATATATATTGATACTTTGTCCACTGGTGTTTAGATGCAATTGCAAACAATTTTTAACATTTCAGAAATGCACTAAAAATTACTGTTTTAAATTAAACAACTTCAAATTTTATGAATAATTTCGAACAATTAATTTTTTGTTTTTGTATTACGCAAAGTAAAATATTACTTCTAATGATTGTTTCAAATTAAGAAAAAATTTTAAATTACCAAAAAATATTAAGTATAACTTTTTTTATATTTATGTGATTATGTGTTTTTTATGATAAATGTAAACAAAATCCTAGTCTTACAACTGAAAAGTACAATTAAATCTTCCTATTACAATGGGATGATTTAATTACTTTGTTTATTTTTTTGATGTTATTTTGAAGAATTGTTTAAAATCATTTTTTTTATATACTTAAATTACTAATCAGAGCATGAAATAATTATAAATTACAATTTTAAAAATCCAATGTTATTTATTAAAAGTTTTTTAAATAGTTTTAAAGTTATTCGCTTTAAAGGTAATTACAGTTCGCGCCAAACAAATAGCACACATTAAAAGTATAATATATTTTATTCATTTTATACTGTTTTAAACATTAAAATATCTAAAAAATAGTTATAAATAGAGAAGTAATAAGAAACATTGTTTTTGGTGCAAATGTTTTCCCATGTCAAAATATGGTATAGGCTATATGATATTTTTTGGTGACAAACGGATGGCACACGGCAGTTATTTAACATTTGACTGCAATAGACAAATTGCTAACGCTAGGTAAGTGATGCATATATTAACTTAGACCAAAGGACTATCATATGTGAACTAATCATATGTGTTACAAAGGACTTCTATGAGACGTGGAACTAAGTTAAATGCTGAAGAAGTTGCTATGATCAAGACATTCAAGGCTGCCAATGTATCAACATCTGAAATATCGAAATATATTCAGCAAAGTCAGAAGATGATTGAGAAAATTTTGAAGGATCCTGATACATATTTGAAAACAAAATCCAATCAAAATGCTTCAAAATTAACCAACCATGACAAACACCGCATACTATAAGTGGCTTCAAACACTAACTGTAGTGCCTGATTGATACACACCCAGCTGGATATTGGTGTGTCATTGCGTACAATACAAAGAACGTTACATGAAGCCAGACATCTGAGGTATGGGAAGCGTATGTCAGTGCCAACGATGCAGAAACATCACATAGAGAAACAAATAACGTATGCAAACAAACATTTGTCTTATCCACCTGATTGGGGCTCAATTATTTGGTCTGATGAGAAGAAATTTAATCTTGATGGTCCAGACAGATATCAATATTATTGGAATGACTAACCTAGTTTAAATTAGCTTAGTGTTTTCAGCTCATTTTCATATTTTAAAAGAAAAAGAATTTCTGACACTTAAGAAATCTGCAGTGTATGAATGTCATTTTTAAATAAGCTTTTTTTTTTTTAGAACAATAATTGCCCAAACATTGCACCAAACTCCTCAACCATCTATTTAACGATACTTATAGGGATTATCTTTTTCTGGGTATTCCGGAATTCGGTATATATAGGTATTTCTTTAAACTTTTTGTTTTTCTGGATTTCCAAAAAGTTTTAAAGAATTAAATACAAGTAAAAAAAATGTTTTAAAGAATTAAATACAAAAAAAAAAATTAAATACAAGTTTAAATATAACTACATGAAATATGTTTTTAAACTTTTTCAGTCATTACCCATACGAAATAAAGTTTCAAAAAAATTGAGATAAAAGTTATTAGTTTTAAGCTAAATTAAGCAAATATGAAGGAAATAAATCCTGAATTTTTTCCAGATTTTTTTAGCAAAATGTTTTCCGGATTTTTCAAAAACGACCCAATTGATCGCTGTATTTAAGGAGTTCAAATATGGTGTGTTTTTTTATGTGATTTGTACATTTATTGAAAACCTCCCCATATCTGCGTGATTGCAACAAATCCAAGTAGGAAATGCATTTATATCATGTTATTAGATTTGTTGACTGTTTTGTTTCAGTAAAAAGAAGCTAAATTTTTATATTTGTTGTAATTTTTTTCTCGAAAGATCTGAGACTTAAAAAAAATTTTCATAAAATTTTTAATTTTTTTTTTTTTTAAAGACTTTTTTATTAATAAAAGTAAATTTTATATATAATTAATAATAGTAATAAGTAATAAATTAAAAAGTAATGATGAGTTCAATAATTTTTGTTTGTTATTATTTCTAAACCATTAACTGCTATCATTAAATATCAAATTAACTGGATTTTAAAGATCTTTGGGAGGTGTTATGGGTTTCTATGATATTTATAATGAAAGGTACAGCTAAAATAATAAAAAAATATTGTTTTCTGGATTTCTAAAGATATTAATTTTAGACTGTAAAGTAATGCTTAGGATTTTATTTTTAACACATTCATGCTGGTATAGATATTTGATTGTAAAGAGAAACTTTTTTTCTAAATTAAAGTTTTCTTAGAATCAATATTGTCATATATAATACATACAAATGACAAATTTCCTAACATATTTTGCATATTTTTTTATTGTGTAATAGATTAGTTATAGCAAAACAAATATTTTTATAAATAATAATTTTTAGGTGTGCTTGACTCTGACTGCAAAAAAAATGGCAAAAAAGAATTGTCTTGTAAAACATTTGGAAGCAGTTGAAACTCTAGGTAGCACTTCTGTTATTTGTTCTGATAAAACTGGTACATTGACTCAAAATCGTATGACTGTTGCTCACATGTGGTTTGATAAAATGATTGTTGAAGCTGACACAACAGAAGATCAATCAGGAATAGCCCATGATAAGGGTTCTTTAACATGGAAATCGCTTGCAAAAGTTGCAGCATTGTGTAGTAGAGCTGAATTTAAGCCTAATCAAAATGATGTTGCAGTTCTCAGGTTTTGTTTAAGTTATTATTTTTGTTTAATATATTATATTATGTTAGCAGTTTTTATTTAAAGATCTTTAATATATTAATTATATTTTTTGTTATATATGCATTTTATATATATTTTTATTTACAATATTTTCATATTTTTTGTAAACAGTTTTTTTTTTAGTTTTTTTTTTTTAAGAAACAAACAAAAAATTTCAATAACAACTAAAATCAACTTTTATCCAGCAAAATTAAAGTTTCATTTAACTGAAATCTCCTCCTTTGACCCTTTTGACCTCTTCCTTTTGATTTGTATGTTAGTGATGGGCAATGATATTGTATAGTTTTTAAATTGTTTAAGCTGAGGCACTGGCATCAGTTTAACACTTGTTCCGTAGCAACAATCACCAAATGTCTTTTTTTCTGTTTTAATGTTTAATGTAAAAATGGATTTATGTATTATTATACTTATACATAAAACTAGTTATTGTTATTTTATTAGTAGTAGCAGTTGTAGTAGTAGTAGTAGTAGTAGTTTTAAGTAATAATTATACATTATATAGAATATATTTTCTAATAATGTTAATAACTATTTATATTTAGAGTAAGTCACATGAATGTAACATTTTTTAGTTAAAATGTTTTATAAAATAGTTAGAACATATAACGGGGTGAATAAAAAAAAAGGCAATTGCTCTGAATAAAAGTAAAATCTAAAAAGTAAATGATAACAGCAAAAGCAATTGCTCAAAAATATGTGAATAAAGTTTTGCTTTATTCATGTATTTTTGCTTTATTTTGCTACCAATAGAAATTGTTTGTTTTTAATTTTTTGTTTAAAAATGATGGTAAATCAAATGTATATGCCAGTAAGTGTGTGTGTTTATATATATGTGAAAAATCAAAAAATTATTAAATAAGTAGCAAAATAGTAAAATAAATGTCCAATCATTGAAAATAAAACAAAAAGTAACTATTATAGATGTTTGTAAAATCAGAAGCAATTGCTCGTTGTTTTAAAGTTATATATACTTTTTAAGTTATTCATTCCCTTTTCTCATACGTGATCAATTGCTCAGAATATAAGTTTTTGCGCAAAAAAAAGCACAAAATTTTATTTTCGTTAACAGGCCTTGTTTTAAATAAAAAATGCTTAAAGGGATCCCTAACTGCCTAGACAAGTTGTGTTCATATTTAAAAAAATGTTTAAAAAAAACATTTGGGCTAAATTTTTATAATTAAAACTAAATAATGAATGCACACCATTAATTTTAAAATTCACATTTTAGTCGAACCTCGCTGTTTCTTTTTTTTTTTTTTTGGTTTTCGGAGTCTTTATAATGTTAGCCGCAATCTGCAGACTTTGCATAATTTATTCCATGCGTGTTTAATTCATAACAGTTTTGGTATATGACGCCATCGTATAATTTTTTTCTTTCAAGATGTCATAAATTTTTTGTCACAATCACCAAATCATGTTAATTGTATAACTTTTTACTAAATCCCAAAAAAAAGTTTATGATGCAATTAAAAATTAAATTTATTTAAAAAAAAAATTAATATAAGGAATATTTACAGTAAAACGTACTTGTTTAAACTAAATATAAACTAGATACTAAAAGAATAATTTTACTAAAGCGTATAAATTAATTTAAAGTATAAACTGAATAAAAAACAAGCGACTTAAATAAAACATGTATTAAGTAGAAAATAAATAATAAACAAATTATTTTACTAATAACTGTACAAATCAAACTAAATTAAAGTCAAAACATATATTTGTACTAAAATATACAAAAAATAGTTATAATACAAATATAAAAACAAAGAATTGCATTAACTTGTTTGCTACCAGCCGAACAAAAATCTTTTTGTAGCAACCACACATTTTTTGAATAACATTTGAATAGCGTAACATTGACAATAAATTAAAGTTCGATAATAATAAAGTTTTTAACACATCATTACACAAGAAGAAATGCAAAATGCTTAAAACTATTGTTTTTATAACTAGTTAACTAAAACAATAAGTCCGAAACAAACCTCATTTAATGAATAAAAAGTATAATTTTTCTTTAAAATACTTTGGTAATTACATTAATAAATACTTAACACTTCTACAAGTTAAGTTTTACAACAGCGTTAACGCTGTTTTATTTTAAATAAAACAGTGTTAACACTGTTGTAAAACTTAACTTGTACTAAATTTAAAGAAGTTTTTCTGATGATGGTTTATTCAAGATTTTTTAACTTTGCAATAACTTTTTTATAATCACACAATATAGCTCTTATTTTTTCTTGATTATGTAGAGAATTAATTAAACCTTTAGAACAAACAAGTTCTATGTGTCTAGAGTGGAAATTTATGTACAAAACAAGATAAATTGTAAAGCATATTGGCAAGCCATTACCAGAGGCTTGAGGTAGTGAAAGAGTTAAACCATAACTGAATGTAAATTAAACATAAAATGAACTCTATTAAACCATATGAACTAAATATAAAACGAAAAACTGCATCATACTGCCTTTATTTTTTCTCTCCTGCGAGCTCTAATAATCACAAAATATGTATAATTGTGTCATGATTTTGGCTGGTTTTTAAAACAAAGTAATAATAAAGCAAGTAAATATATATATATATATATATATATATATATATATATATATATATATATATATATATATATATATATTGTTATCTACTATAGCATATTTATATGCGCAATTGCTCACTTTTTTTGCTAGCCTAAATTAAGTGAGCATTTTTAGAAAACAATGAGGGTAAACGAAGAATAATGAATGAAAATGTTGCTGACCCATACCAAACGTCGATGTAGTCGATGTAGCAGCACTCCACGGCGAGTCAGGCTATTTGTCAGTCAATGTATGTACTGAAGCCCCCGGCAGCAGGCTATTTGACATTAGGTGAGTATGACATCATCATGCTCACCTAACTCAGCAGTATAAGATATATATATATATTTTTTTTTTTTTTGTATAATATTTTACTAAATCACAAATATTTTTTGTGATTTAGTAAAAAATTACACAAATATTTGATTTTCTAATTGCATTAGAAAAAGTACTTATATCTTTAAAAAAACAAAAAATCTTTTCTTTAAAAGATATTGCGATGATGTCATATACCGAAACTGTTTCGGTATATGAATTAAACACGCATGGAATAAATTATCAAGTCAGTAGAATGCGGCTAACATACAGACCCCGAGAATTAAAAAAAAAATGGAGAAGGCAAGCTTCGACCAAAACAATAATTTGAATTTTTTTGGTGTGCATTCATTATTTAGTTTAAATCAAAAAAGTTTAGCCCAAATGCTTTTTTTAACATTTTCTTTAATATGAACACATTTAATATGCTTGATATTAACAAATTTCTTTCTTTTCTTAACATCTGCATAAATTAATTAAAATATGTTAAATTTTCTAATTTTCAAAATGATAATTTCTTAAATTTCTAATCGTGGCTTTGCAACCACAAATGATTATTTACTTAAAAATTAGTGAGTAAAAAAAAAAAAGTTACTTTAATTTATTTACTTTATTTATTAAGAGTTTGTTATTTTAGTGCTAAAGTTATATTGTTGTGTATATCCTTTATTAAAAAATAATCGCTGCAATATTAAAAAAAAAAGTTTAACTTATGTTTCATGCAAATTTTTGATGCAGCTGTTTATTTAAAATTTGTTGAGTAAAAAAAAATGTTTAGAAAGGAAAACTGGAATAAAAAAAATTGAAATAAAAATAACCTAATTATATATTTTTAAAATCTAAGTTAAATTATATTTTTTTATCAGAATAAGAATTTTTATTAAATTAATTTTAAATTAAATTATTTAACTTTTAATATAATTAAATTATGTTATTATTATCTTTGCTTCAAGTTTAATAAATCAATCATTTCAATAAAATAAAAATAAGCTTTCAATTTTATTTGAGTTTTTTTCATTAGTAAAGAGCGCTTATATCAAGCATAATTATCATTCAAACTTTTGTAACAAATTTTTTTACATAAAGGTCATTCAAAAGTTAATTTAGGTTTTTAAAAAAATAATTACTTCTTTTATTATACTGCTTATTGAATATTTTAAAAGTTGGAAAATAATAAAAAAAAGCTTAACCAAAATTGCATACTGCTATCTTAAAATTGCTTAAAGCGTACGTAAATCGCTCTACACATAACGCTTTAGAACAAGGCCTGCGTAAAGAAGCAATTACTTTAAAAATGCAGAGTAAAAGCAATTGCTCTTTTTGATGGCCTATAAAATGTATAAAATAAATTTTTAATCTACTTATAGGCACATTTTAGTATAATTTTTATATTCTCAAACTTAGGAAAGAGTGTACAGGAGATGCTTCAGAAACTGCCATTTTAAAATTTGTTGAATTATCAGTTGGTAATGTTATGGATATCAGAGCAAAAAACAAAAAAGTTACAGAGATACCATTTAATTCAACCAATAAATATCAAGTGTCAGTCCATGAGCAAGAAAATAGTAGTGGTTACCTACTTGTTATGAAAGGTGCACCTGAAAAGGTGTTGGAAAGATGTTCTACAATTCTTATAAATGGTGAAGAACATCCTCTTAAAGATGATGTTATAGAGATTTACAATAAGGCTTATGATGAACTAGGTAACATTTGTATTTAATTTTTATTAAATAGTAGAGTGCTTGCAGGAAATGCAATATTCAAACCCATGACATTTCTTGATGTACTGCTTAACTTGTTTTTTCTTGCATGATTGCGAGGAAAAACATGTTACAGTATATGTGTGTTCTATACATTAAAAGACATTGAATTGGCATATATAAATTATTTAAGCGGTGCCACGTAGCTCAAATAATTAACTATTCCTAACAAAAAATGTTGCACAAATATTATGAAAATAATGATTTTATATAAAATTTGCGCATTGTGCCTGATCACCAATATATATATATATATATATATATATATATATATATATATATATATATATATATATATATATATATATATATATATATATATATATATATATATTATATATATATATATATATATATATATATATATTGGTGATCAGGCACAATGGTGATCAATATATATATATATATATATATATATATATATATATATATATATATATATATATATATATATATATATATATATATATATATATATATGTATATGTATATGTATATTACAACTTGACCCTGCTGTTTGCAGGTTTGACAACTTGCGTTTTTAAAAAATGTGCAAAAAAAAAGCCAACTAAAAAAAATATTTAAAATAGAAAAAATCTTAAACTAAACTTGTCATCATAAGCAATTTTATGCAACCTTTTATAGGAAATTAACAAAACAAAAAAAATACTAACATTAAGTGAACTTGTTATTGTCATGTCAAAGTACTTTTTACTTTTACTTTTTTTTTTTTTTGTTTTGTTTTGTTTTGTTTGTTTGGAAAAAAAAAGTATTTATAAAAACTTTTTTGTTTTTTTGAAAGCACTGTGTTTGTCTCAAAAAAAACAGATGTGAGCAACAAACCCAGCACATCAGTATCTTAAATGTTTCAAAAAAAGTATTATATACACTTACTTAATATTGTATACACTAATATTATATACACTTATATATAATAATTTTATATACACTTACTTAATATTATATACACTTACTTAATATAATTGTAATAATACTTCCTTAAATAAAAAAATAAAGTTAATTGTATACAAAATTTGTTTTTTATTTTAAGGTGGTCTTGGTGAAAGAGTTTTAGGATTTTGTCATTATTACTTACCTGTTGATCAATATCCCAAAGGATTCTTGTTTAAGACTGAAGAAGAACAAAATTTTCCGTTAGAAGGATTGTGCTTTCTGGGTCTGTTAAGTATGATTGATCCTCCTCGAGCTGCTGTCCCTGATGCTGTCAGCAAATGCAGAAGTGCAGGTTTAGTAGAGTTTTAAATAAATTTATCTGTATTTTTACTAAAATGTTTTATATATTTAAGGACTTGAATTAACACAAAAAAGTCATGAAAACTTTTTAATTTTTTGAATACCTCCTTCCCCTGCGGTTGCTTTGCAGTTAAAGAAGTTGCATTAGTTTAAAATTGTTTCTTTTGCATTAGTTTGTAATTGCTAATTTTTTTTTTATATGTCTAGTAATATTCTCATTTGACAGGGTTTTTAATAGCTTAAGTTACGCCTTAAGTTATAAGTTAAAGCTTAAGTTGCAGTTATAGTGTGCAAATAATGTATTTAAACACCATTACAATATTACAATAACACCATTACAATATTACTTTTAGTAATTGTTTTCGCTTAACACGATATTTAAAAAAGTAAAAGTAAAAACACAAATATTACAATTTATAAACCACTTAAAACAGTTATAAAAAAACTATTTAATACCCATCATGCTGATGATAAACTGATAAATTGTTATTGCTAAATAAAACAACAATAAAGCAATACTGCAAAGTTGTTTTGTCAACATAAAGCTTGTGTATATGAAGCAACTTAGCTATGTTTTTTTATTGCTGTTTTATACAGTTATAATACATAACATTCACATAAAATGTGTTTATAGTAAAACAAAGTAAGTAAATTTAAATATTTCAATTAATTAAAACATTATCCTCATAAAACTTAATATTTGTGCAAAAACATGCTTTATTATCTAGAGGTTATCTAGTTTATCTGTAGACAAAATAAATAAGATTAAATCAGAAAAACAAACAAGTAAACTAAAAAGAAATACTAAACTTATTTTATTACACATTTTTTTCTAATTTATTACTTCTTGATCTAGCGTTCTATCAAAAATTTAAGTATAATTAATGTTTTCATTCAAAGAGTAATAAGTCATTCAAAGTCATTCATTCAAAGTTTAATAAGTCAAACCATAAGTATAATCCCTAAATTAGATTATATGCTTGAATTTTATTTTTGAAAAAAATATTTTGAACAGAAATATTAAAATTTATTTTTTTAAATTTAATTTTTTTTTTTTTTTTATCACTTGTTTAATGATTGCAATGTTTTGAATGCTTCTACTTTTTAAACTATTTTCAAGAACCAAAATATATTTACAAAAATGCTTCTACTTTTTAAAGGGACTACCAAGCCCTGAGACATGTTGTGTTCATATTAAAGAGAATGTTAAAAAAAAACTTCTGAGCAAATTTTTTTTAATTAAAACTAATTAATAAATGTATGCCAAGAAAAAGAAATCTTGTTTTTTTAGTCAAAGCTTGTCTTCTCCATTTTCTGCAGTATTTAGAGTCTGTAAAATAAATGCATTTTAAATGCATTTTTTTCTCTGATTTTCAAAAATTTATTTTTTGGTATTGAGGTGATCTTGTTTCATTATTTATATTTCCATTATTATAACATCCAATATATATTATGGCGGGGGCTTAAAAATTAAAAAGTTAATATATATTAATTTTTATATTACGGACATACATGAAAAGATAATTAACTTGAATGATCTTAAAACATCTTGCGGAAGAATTAAAAGAATATTCGCGAACATTAAAAACCTGCCAAATTTACAAACAAACTAATTCTATTGGTTTAAAAAATACGCTGACTAAGCGAAATAAAGTTCTAGAGTATTCTGTTGAAATGTTTTATGAATTGTATTATTTACAATTTGTTGCGTTTTGAGATATCTAGCATGAATTTTTTTAAGAATATATTATCAAATGAACTATTACTTAAATGTTATGGCTCATTCTCAAAGCCACATCTGCTACTAATAAAATAACTAACTATAGTTAGCTGTTTTATTAAAATTTAATATTAAAATTTTATAAGAATTTCTAGAATGTTTCTAATGACGTCATGTACTAAAACTTTTATGAATTAAACGCACTTGAATAAATTATCAAGTCTGTATAATGCGCCTGGAAAATCGCGTTTATTTTACAGACTCCAAAGACCACAGAAATTTCTAGTCCCAGCTATCAACCCTTGCTAAATCCTATAATTTTAATGGGGTCAGGGCCCCAGTCACTTTCTAATAGAAGGCGAGCTTTAAAATTGTTTTAAATTTTTCAAAATTTTTATTCAAGATAGTTTGAATAAGAGAGTTAGAATAAGAGAATAAGAGACAAAAAAAAAAAAGAAAATTAAAAAAAAATAAGTTCCTAGAAACAACTTGTGTACTTATAGATATTGTTTAATCTCGGTATTGCTATAAAATTTTAAAATTCTTTTCAAAATTACTTGTTTAAATTATTTTTAGTTAAAAGCTTGTGTTAGCTACAAATAAGATACGAATACAAACATTTCTTTCTAACTTTTCCAAGTAAATGTCTTTGAGTATATTAAGTGTATTTAATAGTGAGTAACTTAACTGTAGTAAATTAACTGGTTGTTTTGATTTAGTTTTTAGGTAAATTTTCTGTGGTTTATACTTATAATACTTAATTATCAGTTTCAAGCTAAATTTAACTCTCACGCTTTTTATTTTTTTAACAATTTATTCTAAATTTAACTTCAAAATAGAAGTAAAGACTTAAAGTAATCAAAATTCAAAAGCGCTTTATGTTGAATAAAAATTTCTACAGATTTTAATACCAGTGTACCAATTTTGGTGTCCAAATTTGCGTCCAAACTCCAGTACTTAATTATGGATATAATCTTTGCATATGTTCTTAATTAAACGGAATTATATATAAATATAGAATAAAAGTGTATACAACATACTCTTTTTTCAATAAGTTATTATTAAATTGTGTTAAATTTAAACAGGTATAAAAGTCATCATGGTAACTGGTGATCATCCAATTACTGCAAAAGCAATTGCAAAAGGTGTTGGGATTATTTCAGAAGGTAATGAGTGTGAAGAAGATATTGCTCTGCGGTTAAACATACCTTTAGAGGATTTAAGTGAAGATCAAAAAAAATCAGCCAAAGCATGTGTCATTCATGGTGGTATGTTTTATACTAAATTTATATATTAAACTGTGTATTAAGGTCTATGAAACATCATACTGTAATGAAGTATTCTGGGGTTTAGTACTTACATTACAGATTTTTTGGGGTGTGGAGATGATAGTATTTTTCTGTAAAATTTATTGCCAGTATCGAATAATTAAATAATAATAAATTATGAAAAGACATCAAACTTTTTATTATGGGTGCACACCCTTGAAGTACTAATAAAAAATAGTTCATCTGTTTGTTTGCTTGAAAAAGTTATAGTAAGCATCTCTATTATTTTTCATTATTCTTTAAACGTTCATAGTTTGGTTAGGTTTTCATCTTATTTTTTTATATTATTTAATTAAGCAAATGAAGGGTTATGAAAATAAAAAACAATTTTTTGACCTGTAGTAGGAATAAATTATTATTTTAATACTGATTTAGAAATTCACATTTATTTTGTTCATTTCATTAAAAAGTTCCCATGTCAAGACACCTGACAACATGGTGGGTGCCAATATTACCAAAAGTATATCATGTTGGGTCTCAAAAGAAGCGTACTTTCATAGAAAGTTTATAAATTTATTGTTTTAAATATAATTCAATATTTTCAAAGTTATTGTAAATAACATTTTTTAACAAAAATTGAAAAAAGGTACTTTTCAAGGAGTTTTTTAACAATATTTTTTTTTTAACATTACATTTAAGAAAATATTGTTATTTATTAAATCACTATAAAATTTGATGCTCAACGTAAAATACTTTAGGTGAACAAGCCTTCCCAGGAAAAGCGTGCGGTTTTTCGTCTTGTATGACCACACGCGATTATATTATTTTAGAAAATATGAACACGGCCGTTGGCAAGTTTTATAATAATGCTGAAAAAGTTACAAAAACAAAATAAAAAGAGATTGAAATAGAAAAAAATAAAAACAAATAAATAATTTGTGTACTGTTTTTATTTTTGTTTCTTTAGAATGACATTCAGCAACAAAATTAGATAAGATGAAGCAAAAAAAAAAAACAGTTTTAAGTCTACAATAAAAATGATTTTTCTTTTCTTAATTCGTTTTTAAGAGGATAGCAAAAATACAAATTGCAATATGTTTGTAAAATTTATTTGTATATTTTTAATGTAACAATAAGGGTTGAATTAAGCGAATGCAAAACGCATAATCTAGAAAAATATCTAGTATTCAAAATTTTAGTTTATACAAAACCGTGTTCCTTTTTTTTTCCTTGAGGAGAATCAACTTAAATTTGTTAGCGAAAAAATAAAACAATAAACTTACAATTACAAAAGTAATAACACTATAATAGTGTTATTACTTTTATAGCGCGCTTATAACTTTTAAAATTCATTCTTTGTTCAAGCAACATTAGTATTCCCAAATTTTAATTGAAGTAGAAAAATATCTAGAAGAATAAAGTGGATGTTCAAGTAATATCAAACCTAAAGTAACTTATAAAAACGTGACAAACAACCTTATGAAAACGTATCGTATTAAAAGTTTAGCATTGAAAAATGTTACTGATGGACCGTAAAAATTTAAAATTAACCAATAAAAAACTTTTAATGGTTGATTTTAAAATTAACATGCATTTTTACGTAACGTTTTTTCATTGTGCTATACTTTTTATAAAGTACTATTTTATAACGTTGTTTAAGTGATATGTGAAAGTTGCTGAAATTTTTAATAATATTTGAATATCCGCCTTATTATTTTTAAATGCCTTTCTACTTTAATAAGTGTTTGGAATTAATAATGTTATTTGAACAAAGAATGAACTTTAAAAGTAATAAGTGCTTTATAAGTGTTATAACACTATTATAGTTTTATTACTTTTATAATGCAGTTAGTGACTAAAGTGTTATTACTTTTGTATTCGTAAGTTTATTGTTTTTGTTTTGTTTTTTGTTTAACTTTCTCGCTAGCAAACTTTTAATAATTTGCTCCTTATAAACAAAGTACACAGCTTTGTAATAACTAAAATTTTAAAGACCTAATATTTTACCAGAGTTTGCAAATCGCGATCGTATAATTTAACTCTTGATAAAAACTTGTTACGTTATAATTTACAATTATATTTTACAAACAGATGGCGATACATATTTTCTCTTTCGTCTTCAAAAGAAAAAACACAAAATATGGAAAAGTCTTTTTTTTTTTAACGCCCAAAACCTTTTTTTTTTTTTTTTTTTTTTTTTTTTTTTTTTTTTTTTTTTTTTTTTTTTGCCTTGACTTCATCAATTTTGTTGCCGATAATAATAACCACAAAGAAAAAACAAAAATTAAAACAACATACAAATTATTTCAACTATTTTATTGTTTTCTATTTAAGTTTACCTTAATTTTTTATTAAGTTATTAAATTTAAAACAATTTTTCAGTAACGCATATAATATATTTTGCGCAAATGGCCGTGATCACGTTCTCTAACTTGAAAAACTTTTTCGTGGTCGAATGAGACGAAAAACCGCACGCCTTTCCTGGGAAGTCTTGGGTGAATAATATTTTTAGTAAAATGTCACTTGCTATAATGTTGGGTGTCTTGGTCTGGGAACTTTTTTTTTTAAAATAGCTCTAATAATAATAATTTAAAAATAATCAGGCATTAAAAGTTACCTGATTATTTATAAATTATTAAATGTCAAGCTAAATTGGTTAAATTATTATTTAAAGCCAGCTAATTATTTAAAAGTTAACTTGGTTTTATATTTTAGATTCAGTTAAGAAATTTCTATGTGGTTAAAAAGATTTCCTATTATAGAGTTTTTTTAACTCAACTTGAATATTTTAAAAATACTTTTAATACCTCTTTCTAATAACAAGAAATTATAATATTTGTTTGTTTATTTTTTTAATGTTGCTTTTTTTTTTTTTTTTTTTTTTTACTAAATGTTGAACATCATTAACTTTACTCTAAAAAATATGAAAACACTTTTGAACGTAAACATAGCAAAAATAATTGTAAAAATGCTAATGTTGTGCATTTTTTCCTGCTGATAAGGGTGCATTCACTGATTGTCTAGTACTTGAAATCAAAAGAATGTGTGTATGTTTTTGTTTAATTGAACTTTCCAAATTATATGCAAAAATTTACTTAGCCATTAGTTATTTGAGCATTGATATTTTTATATCACTAAATATTTTCCATTTAAAATAAATTTTTAGAAAATAACCATTTTTAAAAATGTCTTTTAAATGTCTTGATTTTTTTTCAATTCTTAATGTTGATTTACATTATTTTAAGATTTTTTATTTTATTTTTTGCATTTATTTTAACAGCAAAGTTGAAAGATATAAAGAATGAGGAACTGGATAAAATTTTATGTGATCATACTGAAATAGTATTTGCCCGAACATCACCTCAACAAAAGTTGATTATTGTTGAAGGATGTCAACGTCAAGGTGCAATTGTTGCTGTCACTGGTGACGGTGTCAATGATTCACCTGCATTAAAAAAAGCTGATATTGGTATAAATTCATTTGTTTTATAAGTTAATATTTTTACCTAATTGTTTAAAAATTTATATGTTTATAAATATATTTAAAGGTGTTGCAATGGGTATTGCTGGCTCTGATGTATCTAAACAAGCTGCTGATATGATTCTGTTAGATGATAACTTTGCTTCAATTGTTACTGGAGTGGAGGAGGGAAGGCTAATATTTGACAACTTGAAGAAATCAATTGTGTATACCCTCACCAGCAACATTCCTGAAATTTCTCCTTTTCTAATGTTTATTTTGTTTGGCATTCCTCTTCCACTTGGTACCATCACCATATTGTGTATTGATCTTGGCACAGATATGGTTCCCGCAATATCCTTGGCATATGAAAAAGCTGAATCTGATATTATGAAGCGACATCCTCGTAATCCAATAAGAGACAAACTTGTTAATGAGCGACTCATCAGTTTAGCCTACGGACAGATAGGTATGATGCAGGTGAGTAAATTTTTTTACCTAATGTTAAATATATTATAAATTTACTTATATAAACTTGTCTCACTTAGAACACAAAGTAAAGCAATATTAAATCATTTATTATTTAATTTTAATTATTAGAAATATACAATTATATATATATATATATATATATATATATTATATATATATATATATATATATATACATACATACATACATACATACATACATACATACATACATACATACACATGTAAATAAGGTCGTGTATATATATATATATATATATATATATATATATATATATATATATATATATATATATTGAAATACAGAAAAATAAGTTTGTTCTTTTATATCATACAAAATTTCCCTGATTATCACAATCGGAAAAATTATTTGTTTTCAGGATAGGGTATAAAAATATTTTTATTTTTTTAGTATCAATATCAATTATTTCCTTTTTAATTGTATTTTCTACAACACTTTTAGGCAACTGCAGGGTTTTTTACTTATTTCATCATTTTGGCCGAAAATGGATTTTTGCCATCATATTTGTTTGGACTAAGAAGTCAATGGGACGATATGAATAATAACAATCTATTGGATTCTTTTGGCAGTGAGTGGACATACTTTCAACGGAAAGAGATAGAGTTGACTTGTCAAACAGCTTTTTTTACTACCATTGTGGTGGTGCAGTGGGCTGATTTGATCATTAGTAAAACGCGAAGATTGTCACTTTTTCAACAAGGAATGACGTGTGTTGTTTATATATTTTTTTTACATTGATTTATTAATAATTTATTGCCTCAGATTTATATAAAAGTAATTACTTTTTTTAAATTTTTATTTCTAAATTTTATATTTAGAAACTGGTTTTTAAACTTTGGACTTTTTTTCGAAACTGCACTTGCAGCTTTTCTCCAGTACACTCCTGGTGTAAATACGGGTTTGCGTCTTCGTCCTATGAATTTTACCTGGTGGTTGCCCGGTCTTCCATTCAGTTTGTTAATTTTTGTTTATGATGAAATTAGGAGATACCTTTTACGGAAAAACCCAGGAGGTTTGATTATAACATTATAGATCTTTTATTATTTGTAAATTGGTAAATTATTTTTCAAAAATATTCTTCATTTAAATTAATATATGTTTTTTAAATTTTAGGATGGGTCGAGAAGGAAACATATTATTGATATTTTAAAGGCGATTTTTACACGTGTTTTAGATATGCTTTCTATTTTCTCTAGTTTTTTTAACTTAAGCTTTTTCAAATAAGTAAAATTTTAAATTGTAGGCATTTTAGATTACTATTATAACTAAAAAAATTTATTTTAGTTAATGCAATTGTTCATTGATAAAAGTCTATTTTTGTGGCATAGATTTATTTCGCTTAAATAAATGTTTTAACAGAAATTTTGTGTTTGCTCTCCGTGGATTCTCGGATAACCGAAATAAAAAATTTTTTGTTCGTAAAATCAAAATATTAAAAATTAAAAAAAAAAAAAGATTTTAAGTTTAAATTTTCTTAAAAAGTTTTCTTTTAACTTGAGGAAATATACTAAAAACTACCACCAAAGTTCAAAAACTTTTCGACCTTTTATGTCACAAGAAATGGTCCCGTAAGCATTGAAAAATTAACTGACACATTGAGTTAAACTTGTAGTTACAAACTGATTTTAAAATCGAAACAAAAAAAAAAATTTAAAATATTTGTCGAGTATAAAAAGATAAGTTGTTTATAAACCACAAGTAAATATTTTTAAATTTAAAAAGAAAATAGAATAAAAATTGAAATCCTTTTTTTAAATAGAGGTGGCAATGACAATGGTTTTTGCGATTCTAATTCTATAATTTTTTTGTTGACAAAGCAATGTCGAAATTTACAAGCTGAAATTTGATGAATTTTCATTATCACCACCTTAAACTGCAAACTATGTTTAACTTTTCTTGTTACAGGATTCTATTGTGTTTTTTAATTTTTGAATGAATAAGATTTATCTAACTAGATGGATTAAAATATGTAATGGAATGAAAACGGTGACTAAGTTAACTTCTTTGCTTTTTTTATTTTTACATCATCTATACTAAGTGAAACTGATTAACTGATCATTTATGGTTAGTGTTAGTTTCAAGTAGTTTTCAGCAAAGAGCAAAGAAAACAAATTGGTAGTTTTTAGCATAACAAACCCTTTGTTAATCAGCTTGGTAGAACACGAACTTTCTACAAGGTGTCAGAACGTTTTTACTGGCCAGAAAATTTAAAAGATGTAGAAAATGCTGTGTGTGTATTATTATTGGTATCAATATTAGTAATATTTTAGGAATGGAGGAACATTTTTTTTCTATGATTCGCAAATGTGATACAAAATAATTTTGACATCGCCCCATTCCCCCCCTCCCACACACACAAATTCCGTTGCAAATTATGAACTCGGCTGATTTTTAGTAATTTGTTGTCACTTTTTATCAAAAAAAAATATATATTATATATATATTATAAAATATACACACTGTATGACCTCTATACAACGTCTTATAGATGTCACAAGTCCGTGTGCCTTAAGACACCCGACAAACGTTCTGTGCTCGCTAGGAAAACTTGATCAAAGCACGGAGCAGAATAAAAATAGTTATCTATGTATATACATATAATTATTTTTAAGGTTATTGCATTTAAGCTCCTCTGCAGGTTTGGTAATAAAAATATAAATAGTCAAAGAGCAATCCAATCTGATCTTTGTAACTCATGGGCTTAAGTCAACATTCTTATGCTAGAATATACTAACAAATTCGATGAACTCTCTTGAGACCTTAACTAATTACAGAAACATAATTAAAGATCTAAAAAAAACTGTCCGTTTCTGTTGATTTCAAATACTATGACATTATTGATTTCAACAAAACTTTGATATTTAGAAAAATAGGGGAACCAATATAAAATGCTGTCCCAGGCGGCCTCAAGACTCTCGGCGCATCTTTCTGTGTAAATGTAAAATCAGAAATAAATGGTTGATTGATTTATTAATACATTTTTCATTGTGGTTGTACTTTGTTGGCAACTTGTAATGATTTCGAAAAAAGATTTTAGTTTTCCAATTTAACTTAAAATAAGTTTTAAAAATGACAAAAGAAGAAGACGTTTAAAAAAATAATTTGCATGGAAAATTTTATGGAAAATCTGAATTTAGCTAATTTGCAAATACATTTCTACATTGTTAGTCATGTTGTTTTACGTTTTTTCTAAACAAAATCAATCAAATGCAAATCTTGTAATGCAGGAAAGGAGGTTTTTCAAGACATAAAACTAGTTAGAAAACTGGTTCACAGTTTTATGAATAATTAAAGCCTCTCACTAAAGGAATACAAAAAAAATATGAAAATGTATCTTACTGTTTTAAAACTCAAAAAAAAAAAAGCAAGAACCCACTGAAGAAAGTTATATGACAACTATATTTCTAAAAATTTCTAAATTATTGAAGATGATGAAACTTATATGAAACATATCATCAGCAAATTCCTGAAAATGCCATTTTAAAAACATCAAATAGTTTTGATTGTTACTCTGTGTGCAAGCCTATGTATACCACCAAAATAAAAGTTTAAAATTTTAATCAGATACCCACAGGAATAAATTAACTTCTTTGAAATATTTTATCTTTTTTTATTCATGTATTAAAATTAATACTTAGTTCCCAATAAAAGTCAGAAGCACCTTTTTTTTAGTTGTTTTTCTACTTTCACACTTATTCAATCATTAATGATGAGCAGCCGTGGCGCAGTGGTTAGAGTTCTGGCTCAGAACTCAGAGGTCCGAGGTTCGATGCCAGCTCTAGCCCAACAAGCGACATTGGTACGGAAGGAGGCGTAAACTTCCCGTTAAATGCTCACCCGCGGTGCTCAATGATAAGACCGTAAGGACTTCTGGGAGCACCTAAATACATACAAAAAAAAAAAAAAAAAAAAAATTGAATAAGTGGAAATTAAAATCATTATCCCTGCACATGATTAAAAATGGATCCGTTTATACATGATAAAGCGCCAAGATTGACGTTATTAAATCTTTCGTTTAAGTAAAGGTCTTTTTACTATGTTTTTACACCGATTGTTTTTGTATGTAATAATAATTATTATTAACAATATAAATTTTCTTTCAATTAACCTTTTGTAAACAAAAGTTGAGTTAAAATTAATTAAATTTTAACTCAACTTTTGTTTACAAAAAAATATTTATATGTTTATACATATGTCAAAGAAGGAGGCTTTGCAAAAAATTGCGATGATTGGAGCCTAACAACAAAAAATCTTCAGAATTTTAAAGCAACAAGTTGATAAAAAAAATTTTTTATACTACTTTTAACTAAATTTATTTTCATCGATAAATTTTAAATTCCATAGTATATTCTTTCAGCGTTCAAAAATTATGCCCATATAAAATTTGACCCCCCTCCTTCTCAATTTTAGGGGATGACAAATTTTATATGGTTATAATTTTTGAATGTTAAGAGATTATTGTATGAAATTTAAAATTTATCAATGAATATAAATTTAATTAAAAATAGTAAAAAAAAATTTTTTTTAACTACTTGTTGTAACAACATTTTTATTTATATTAATTTTTTAATGTTTCTTACATTTTTTTGATATGCTGATTTCAGTGATACTATTGGTTTTGCTCTATCATAAAGATTTTCTGAGAAAAAGCATAAAGTATGTTTCAGAGTTTTCGTATATGTGTATTGCATTTATAACATTATAAATATATATATATGTTGATTTTAACTCATTCTCTCCGGCGAGCCACTGTCAGTGGCTTTGTATACTTTGTGTCTTTTTTCTATAATCCCACGTTTAATATTACTTTTCCTGATTCTAGTTTTTTAGGTATTCAATTGTCACTTCCTTTGTTATTGCTTATGTTTATTTATGTTGATTTAAAGCATTTTTTAAATAAATATTAGCACATTTTGGGTACGATTTTTTGAACAAACGCTACTGCTAATGAGATAACTATATACTTTTGTTTATTTTCAGTTTAACTAATTACAACTGTTATACGAAGTGGTGAATATGTCTAGCAGCTGCAGATCCACACTAGAAGGATGGCTGCGTGGAATCCAATTATTCTCGGAATTGCAAAGTCAATGCTTTTTGCGATTCAGAGAATATGGAAAGAACCGACATACCATTATGATGACTGTTATTTCTGCATGGTTGACATTTCAAAGTATAAAAAACAAAAGTACAAGTTGACTCTAGTTTATGCATATCATTCTAGACAGACATACCGGATGAACTTCGTGATGACTGTTATTTCAGGAAACCGAATGATTCACCTCATTTCCCTAACCAACAAGAACTTGATGACTTAGTACGAGATTTAGGTCTCACTAAATCAAATGCAGAACAAAAATGTGGAGACTTTAAGATGCTAGCGTTTCTTCTTGGTCTACAAGAAGGATACACAAAGTACTCATGTTTTCTTTGCTTATGGAATCGCAGGGCTGCGGACCAGCTTTTCATAAGACGTGAGTAGTCAGTAAGAGAACATTTATAGCCTAGTTCGCACATAGTTATTAATCACTCCCTGATACCCGTTGAGAAGATCTTACTGCCAACCCTTCACATTAAACTAGGTCTTGTCAAACAACTTTTCATAAAAAAATACCACGTTCTACTGTTCACTTCTAGTGTTTTTCGATATTTTGAGAGACTATTACATTAAAGCATAATGTAACATTATGCAATATATGTATGTAACGTTATGTAACGTGACGTTTTGTAACATAACATAACATTTTCGAACTAGTAAATGTTATATATTGACTAAATTTGTATCTCATGCAATATGATTAATATTAATTATATGTTTAATTGAATTTTGGGTTTTATGATCAAACGGTTGATGCAATAAAAAAAAAACTAATGTCATATTCAGACTCAGCATATTCAAATTAAATAAGAAACGTCAAAAAATTTTGATAAACAGAGAACTTTGTTTTTGTTTTATTGTGTAATAATATTAAAATATTTGGCATAAAGATTCCGAGTGCGCTCAAATCCATCAAGTAAATCAAATGCAATGTTAATGCTATTTATAGCTATTTATATATTAGGAAAGTACTACAAAATTAACGATATTAATGTAACAATCACTGTTTAAAATGTGTACTAGTAATTAAACAATAATATAATCCTAATTGATGACTTAACATAATAACTAACAAATAAATTTGTTTGTCATGAAAAACAGATATATCATCATGACTCAGGCCCGTAGCAACCAGGAGGGTGGGTGGGCAGCAAAGACATTTGCCTCCCCCCCCCCCCCCCCAATAAATTTTCAAATTAAAAAATAATTTTGAAAAAATTTAATGAAAAAAGGGCTAAAAAAAAAAGGTCCTTAAAACTATTTCGGGGCCCCTTAATTCAGCACTGCCCCCCTCCAACATAATTATTCTTCCTGCGGGCCAGTGACTAACAGTAAATTTATCAGCAATGACTAAGAAATAAATTTGTTTGCCATGATACCAAGTCATCAATTAGGATTAAGTTATCATTTGATAATATTAATTAATAAAGATCCTTCTAGAAATTGGTGGTATTTTATAGATCAAATTGTCTAATACGTAATAAAGCGCCAAGATTGACGTTATGAAATCTTTTGTTTAAGTTTTTTTTTTTGTATGTAATAATAATTATTATTAACGATATAAATTTTCTTTCTATTAACTTTTTGTAAACTAAAGTTGAGTTAAAATTAATTAAATTTTGAATAGGTTTTACGCAGTAAAAAAAAAAAAAAAATTAACCTCCCAGAAACCATTTTAAAGCTTTATATGGCATTTGAAATAATAAAAAAAAATTAGGGCGTGAATTTATAAATTTATTGAGCGCTTTCCTAGTTGCGAAGAGCAGTCGAAGATTTCGTTTTCGTAGATTTAGAAAAAAAAAAAAAAAGCTGAAGAAAAACTTTAAATATTACAACTATGGCAGATCCAGGGGAATTGGAATTAAAAAGAGTAAGAAACTAGTACACTTTTACAAAAATGCATTATGTCACGTTAGTTACAGTAACAAATAATTTTTTATTTTATTTTGTACGAAATCTATTTGGTGCAATTTGCATAAAACTTTACCTATTAAACTTATGCTATTAACGAAAGCGCATATAAATCTATTTTATTTATACTTTTACCCCTTTGCTTAGGGAAAAACCAGTATAAACAAAATAGTTTAAACCGATTAAGTTAAATATAACTTAACATAAGCACATACATAATACAATAATGCACAATATTTAAGAAACAGTGAGAATCGGTTGAAAATTGGATTTATTTCTTCTGAAAATTCTAAGATGCATTTTAATTTTCAAAATATATTATTTGTGTTATCATAAATTTTAAAGAATTTATCTATAAATTTTCCTAAATGATTTTATCACTAAACAATTTTCCTAAACACCAAATTCAACAAATTTAAGTCTTTGTTTCTTTAAGCAAATATCCTTATTTGCCAAGATTATCGGATTAGTAACCATAAATAAAATAGACCAAGGTTATTAGAATAGAATTAGTTCATAGTTTTAGACATAGCATTACTTTTTTTTGTTTTTAGTAAATTTTTAATACCAGATATTAATAATCAGAGTTGTTTACAAAGTCATAAATATTGCTATTGATAAGCAATATTTATTGTCTTATAAATATTGACAAAAGCCTCAGAATGCAATTTTTTCTTGTAAGGCTAAGACCACAGACACTTTGCAATCAAAAACTATATGTAACTATGATAGCACATATAAAAACTAAGTTTAGCTATGATATGGCATAATGCTGCAAGACCAAAACAAATTTCAATAAAACAACTATATAACTCTATATTTTCTATTAATTTAATTTTTTTAAACTCTAGTGATTTGCCATAACCATTAAAATTAAATTAAAGTTGTGTCAAATGGTAATCACTTTGATATTACAAACCTTTATCTGAACTATTTGTATATTTATTTGTATATTTAGATTAAAAAAAATAGTAAAGTTTCATTGTGCTTTTTTTGACTGCCTTCAAATGCACACTAATTTGTTAATAATGATGCATACTGGCGTACAGAATACCATAGATACAGATACAGCATAGCATATAGTTTCAAATGATGTATATTAACATACAGTATATTAAAAAGTTTTTTCATTTCAATGTTTAGCAACTCAAGTGAAAAAATGTAGTAGCTATTATTAAAACTAAATGTGTAGAACTAAAAAGTTGTTATGTATAAAGTTTAAACAGCAGATTATAATACCCAAAAAAAAAATTTTTTATAATTTAAAATATATTTATACTTAAATGTAATTTGATTATATTTTTTGTTGTTACCAAATTTTGAAAGTTTTTTGAATTGTTATAAATATACGTTTTTTTTCTTTTCTAGAATGCAGATAGCTATTCTGTTAATACAAAAAAGACTACTAAAAAAAGTCAAAAAAAGACTAAAATGGATGACCTTAAAAAAGAATTAGAAATGGTAAGTGTTATAAATACAAGTAGATAATATATATATATATATATATATATATATATATATATATATATATATATATATATATATATATATATATATATATATATATATATATATATATATATATATATATATATATATATATATATATATATATACACATATACACATACACATTAGGCCTAGTTTTAAATAAAAAATGCTTAACACGATAGCCTAATGTGAATTTGACTTCATAAAATTGATTTTTTAAACTACTGCTATAATATTAATTACCGCAAAACGAGTTAAATTTATTAAACTTCATTTTTATTATTACTATAAGGGAATGTTTATTTTTTTTAACTTTTTTTTTTAATATAAAATATTTAAATTTAATATAACATTTTAAAAATATTTGATATTAACAAATTTCTTTCTTTTCTCGACATTTGCTTAAATCTATGTTAAATTTTTGAAGTTTTAGATGATTATTTCTTAAATTTAATTGCGACTTCGCAACTACAAATAATTTTTTTACTTTATTTATTAAAAGTTTATTTTTCTGAACATCACTTATTAAAATTATATCACTGTATATATTTCATTTATTAAAAAAATAATCGCTGCTATTTAACTTTCATTATAAAAAAAGTTTAACTAAAAAATAAACAGCTGTTTATTTAAAATTTAATTTTGAGTAATAAAAAATATTTAGGAAGGAAAACCGTTTTATTAACTTTAACTTTAATAAACTTAAATATAAATAACTCAAAATGCAATTATATATTTTCAAAATCTAAATTAAATTAAATATTTTTTATCAGAATAAAATTATATTTTTTTATGAATTTAGTTTTAAATTAAATCATATATTTTTTATTAGAATTAAATTATATTATTATGGTCTTTGCTTCAAGCTTAAAGAATTAGCGTTTTCCAAGCGCAAGAGTTAATCATTACAGTTAAATAAAAACAAAATAAATTTTTATTTTTATTTGAGTTTTTTTCATCAGTAAATAGCGCTTATATCTAACATAATTGTCATTCAGACTTTTATAACAAATATTTTAACATAATGGTCATTCAAAAATTAATGTGGTTTTTTGAAAAATTAATTACTTTTATTTTACCGGTTATAGAAAGTTTAAAAGTTAAAAAATGATAAAAAAGTTGTTTAAGCAAAATCATTTACTGCTTACATAAAATCGCTTATAACATATGTAAATTGCTCTACATGTAACGCTTAAAGACAAGGCCTGATATACATATGTTATAATTATTATTGTTATATATATATATATATATATATATATATATATATATATATATATATATATATATATATATATATACAGTCAGCGAAATTCAGGTCAGCATTCGGCAATGCTGACGCAAAAGCCGACCTATTTTTGTATTTTTGCTTTAGGACGGCATACAGCTGCCGACCTGAATATCCTAAAATGTTGGCATGCAAATTGAATTACTTTAAATAAAAAGTTATAAAATAGTATTCGTTAAATATTATTTTACACTTTTTTTATTGTAATTACTTGCTTTTCATTTTTTTCAATTTTTTTTTTCTTTTTTTCTTAAATTTATTTAAGCATAGCAAGGTTAAAAAATATTACTTTTTAAAGGCCTGTTGTTCTTAAGCTTTTTTAAGTGCAGTTATTATTAAGTTATAGAATATAATTTTAATTTATTTTATTAGTTAAATTCATTTAACTAATAAAATAATTTACATGTTTACGGTTTTTTAAATATTACTTAAGATCAGCAAAGTGAATCAGGAAAGTTTTTTTTATTTTTAGTATTTTTAACTTTTGTTTTCTCTCCATCATTTAAAAAAAAACAACTTCAAAACTAAAAAATCACTAATTCATAAATTTGCTATAAACTTAATTTACTACACAAAATTTAATGTTTAAATAAATGATACATGTGATAAAAATTAACTGATAAATATTTGAAACTATTTTTCCATTTTTTTTTTAAAGTTTTAAACAATTGCTTAAATAATTTTTTTTTTTTATGTTACTTTAAATTATGAACAAGTTCAAAACTTTTTGTGACTAGTTGCTAAGAACAAGTGTATGAAGATTTATATAAATTATACAATAATATAAAATAACTTTTTTACTTGATATGCATGTATTTTGTTGACTAGTGTAAAAGTTTTGAAGTATTTTGTAATGTTTTTATCTTACGTTTTTTTTTTTAATTTTTAAAAGATTTTTTTTTTACTTTCAATTAGGATAGGCATGAATAAGTTCAAACTATTTATTTATTTTTTAATTAAATTCATTACTATTTTAAAAAGACTATGTTATTTTTTTTAAACAATTTTTTGCAACATTTTTGGAAAAAATGTTTATACAATTTAAAAATATTATAGGTAAAACTTTCTAGAAACTTAAATAAAATTTGTTCATTTATTAAACAATAATTAGAAGCAATTTGTTGCTTAATGTAATAGCGTTTTGCATAACTTTATAACATGTTTAAAAAGATAAGTTTTAAAGTAATTTATTTCAAATGCAATTAAAAATGTAACGATAACTAATTTTTGCTTTCAAGTTAAAGTTTTTTGAGTTTCATATTAGTGCTTATATATTTTCTTTTTCAAAAGGAATTATTTTCATTTTTTTTTTTTTTTTTTTTTAGTTTCTAACTAGTTTAATCAAAGAGGTGGAAAAAGTAACACAAGTTTCTACTTAAATAAAATTACTGTTACTTGAATGAAATTTTACTCAAGTACAAGAAAACATTACAGATCAAAAAGTTTACTCAAGTAAAAGTAAAAATTAGCTCATTATAAATGTACTCAGAATAAAAATTACCCTGTTACTTTTTCAACAGTTTTTTTCAGGTAACAGACCTGTTAAATAACAAAACATAAACAGTATGGTCTATTCTTTTCTGTATATCTTTACAGTTATTATATTTAAGTAATATTTTTAAATGTGTGTTTAATAATACAAATAATACGATATTAAAATACATTATTTAATACTCATTTTATCAGTTAAAGCATGTCTTTTTTTCTTGGCTCTTGCGATATTTGCATAAATATTGAATTAGTAAATTTGTCATTATATTTTTTTCAGATATACTTGTTATGCATATATGTAAAAAATGCTTTGAATAAATAATTTTTTTCTTAAATACAAGGAGCATCTAAAAGGAACATCTTCAAAATAAAGCCAATAATTGTGTAATTAGGATATATAAATAATTAAAAATAACAAGTTATTTTTCATATATAATGTAAACATAATAAATCTTCACTTTAAATTTTGAAAATTCTAAAAGAAAATTCTAAAAGAAAGATTAAAATTCAAAAAATTAGCAACACTCGTTTTTTATATCTTTCTGACTTAAAACATTAATAAATGAAAATTATAAAGAAACAATTTTATAAAACAGTTGCTATCTTTTATCAACTAAAAAAATTAAATCATTTTTTTTTGTAATTTTTTAATGCGCAATAATTTTTTTTTACATAGTAGCGTATATGATTTAAAATGTAGCAAAGTACAATACTTTAAAAAATATTTTTAAGTAAAAGTAGATATTAATGTCAATAAACAACCCAACAATCAAATAATTATTATTCTAAAGCAGTTTTAACTTTTTAAGGTTGTTTATAAATAGTAAGAATACTTATTTTGTGTCAGCCCATAGGATTAGGAAAAAGAAGATTGGCAAAAAATGACCTTAACTGTTTTAGGTTGGCATCAGGTTGACACAAAATTTTGAATCAGGGTTTGACAAGTTGACAAAATTGAATATTTAATGATTGATAGAAAAATAAGCACAGAGTTTGCCACTGTTTACATAAAAATCAGAAGGTAAAAAGAAAGTTTTGTCAATTTTAATTCTTTTATTTAGAATTAATAAAACATTTTTTCGTTTTTAATTTAATAATTTGTTTACAACTTAAATGAAATGTTAGTTTTTAATTATTTTGTTTACAACTTGAATGAAATGTTAGTTTTTGGAATTTAAATCAAATGTTTGTTTTGCCGTTTGAATTTAATTATTTTATAAGGAATTAGTAAAAACAGTTTTTTTTATTTTCCAAAGTATTTTATTTAGACTTAATTTAAAAGTCTTTTTTTTATTTATTTATTTATTTTTATTCTGACTCACTATTAACAAGACTGCAAGCAACCACTATTAAGTTGGGAGTTATTAGAAGGAAAAAATAGAGTTATAGAGCAATGAAACAGTTGGCAGAAGACTTTAAAAGTTGAAGGTTGTATAAGTCAGGAAAACATGAAGATGGGAGAGAGCTCTAAAGGGTTAAAGTACGGGAAAAAAAACTAGACGAATAAATGCTTTTAGAACATGCAGGAACATATACAATAAAATAATGAGACTTTGCTGAATGATGAGTCAAGCGATAGCTGAAACATAAGAAAGAGGACTCTGTGAGAGGGTTCCCATTCATTACAGGGTTCATTATATTCATTATAGTTGCCATTCATATGTCGACAGTATTGCAGTAATTCTTTGCAGTAAATAACTGAATTTTGTTGGAGTTAAAATTTACAAGCCATTGTGAGCCCTAATCTGTTACAGAAGTGAAATCAGATTCAAGATCGGTTGCCTGTTCTAAGTGATCAAAAGAAGAAGACTTTTTGTCTAGATAGGAGTATAAAGTTAAGTCATCAACAAATAGAGCCACTTTAAATGTAAGGTTGTCAAGAAGATTGTTATAAGAAACAAAACAGGACCAAGGATAGAACCTTTTCTGTGGTACCTTAAAGTACAACAGAAGTTACTGGAAATAAAGAAAAAAAATCCTTCTAGGATGGCTTTAATAAAGTAGTTAGAAAGAAACCATTTGATAATCTCAAAAACTTTCCTAGGTACACCATAGATAACAAGTTTTTGAAGAAGACTACCATAGCCAAACTTTGTCAAAAGCCTTAGATATGTCATGAGCAATAGCTCTAGTCCAGTTGCACAAAAGGGTGAAAACCATGGAGTAGAATGAGGTTGACTTAAAACCAACA